ATCGTTCGTCAGGACTCCATAATGCAAGTTTCTCCCCTTCTCTTCTAGTGGAGCAAGGGAGTCTTTACCACTCTCTGTTTCCAGTCATTGGAGTTGTGGACAGAAGTCTAATCCTCCTGAGTGATGTTTGTATTCTTTATTCCACTCAAGGAGAAGAGGGCAAAGCTGGTTACCCTCCCACCCATAACCCTGGATGGTTTTCCCAGATGTTAGGTGGGAAGCTGGTACATCCAACATGGGAGCCTCCTCATAATTCCAATTCAGAAATGACACTTTGCTATCCAGTTGCAAGAGTGTGGCCCTTCTCTTTTAGTCATTCTCTTACTTTCCAAGATCATGGAAGAGGGTCCTCAACTCCTCGTAATTCTGCATGAGGAGCATTATGTCTGTGAGACATTAGTTGAACTTTGTTTGTTCCCCATCTTCCTCATAATTCCAGGAGCAAGAGATGTTACCTTGTCTCCTAGGTTGAGGAGTTAGGATTTTGGTTCATAATTCCAGGCTTTGTTCCTTTAGGCTGAGTGAAGTGTGAATTGGCTCTCTAATTCCGAGTTCAGTTTGTTGCATTCAGTGCATCTTCAGGTTGGGGGTAACACTTGTCCGGTTGGATGTTACTTGTCTTTCCTTCGTAATTCCAGTGGTTTGTATGTGACATTCTGTAACTTTCAGGTTGGGTGCCTGAGCCCATAATTCCAAGTTCGGTGTGTTGCATTTTGTGCTTCTTCAGGTTGGAGTGAGGGTTTGTCCACTTAGGTGTTGCTTGCCTTCTCTCCATAATTCTGGAAGTTCAATATGCAACCTATTGTAACTTTCAGGTTGGGTTCCCTTCATATCATATTTCTATTATACAATTATATCATATTGCAGTCCCTATGTCCTAGCCACTATACCTTGGATCTGGCTTCAAGTCCACAGCCATATAATTCCAACAACGAGACATGGAACCTTGTAAGTGTGGTTGGGGCCTGGTCAAATCTCATGATAATGAACAATGTTGACTCTGTAGCTGGTTGGCATTTATTGCCCACGTATAAATTTCATTCTACCTGAAAAGCATATCTGTTCCAGAAGCAGTACAGACTCCCACTAATGTGCTTTATTGTATCTGAATTTTGCACACCTGTTTTTTTACTCAGATGCTTTCTATGTGGATCTTGCACTCACTGGCCCCTCTACCTATTCAATGTGGGATTCTATCTAAAGTGTGAGATGAGGTAAGTGTGTTTCGGAAGCTTACATTTTCCTATACCGAAAATGTATTTCCGGTAATACCTACCTCCCCTCACACTATCCTGCCCTTCCTCCCCATGTTAGCTGGTGTTCAGGTCTGATAAACATGCCAGTCTTGAAAAAGTGAAGGAGAAAGAATAACAGGGAGCTTATGTATGGATTGGGTACAGAGGGTGCATTGATGAAGGTGGAAAGAGTCACAAGGTTAAAATCACTAGGGTTGATATAGTGTGGTAAAACGACTGAAGCAAACGAGGTAGATTTCATACCATTGCTTAGATGGGCAAAGAAGAGAACCTTTGTTCGGATAAAGCTAAAGTGTGAGAGAAGGTAAGTATTATCGGAAATACAATTTCAGTATAGAAAAACATAGGCTGTCTGTTAATACTTTTAGTATATCTATACAGTTTACTGGACTAAAATATTTATAAATTAGAAACAGGAAGCTTAGTTTTCACCTATTTTTGTCTTCAGGTTATAAATAAAAATTGCTTATATATTAAATGTTTTCCATTAATATTAATAATTAGTTAGTAGTATAATACTGCTTAGAGAATAAAAACACTTAACACTTAAAGTTGATTGATAAAAATTAAGTCACAGTATTGAAAATTGTAACTTGAAATTATCATACTTTGTTTTTTTTACTAAACATTGTGTAGAGAGATGTATAATTAAGGCTTGATCTTTTTCACAGTAAGCAAATGTAGAGTTTGGATTAATGTGATAAAAATCGTGAAACATTACAGTAATTACTTTAGGGAGAATGATGTACTTATTCTGTGCCTTTATCGAGTCTTGAAACCAGGTAGTTGTGAAGTAAATGATAAAAACAATTTTAACAAATACCTGTTTTAGCAATTGTAGATAGCACTTACACTTGTAATATTTTCAATACTTGAGAGAATTAAATGAAAGAAATACATGTATGAGCCAATATTTACACCCAGATTTAAAGTTGCATGTGCCATAATTATATGATAAGTTGGAAATGTGTACTTTTCTGGAGTCTCTTTTTGAATTCTACTTGTTGATTGGGAGGGGAGGAGGTGTTTTGTAGTCTAGTAGATCTGAACCTGAAACTTCCATACCTTTTACATTATGCATTTGTGCAACATGAACATAGTGGTTTTCCAGGGAGAGAGAGAGAAAAAAGTATTAAATACTAAACCATATTTTTCTACATTTACTAATAAAAAAAACTATCAATGAAATTTGAAATGGTATGTAATTGTGTAATGGAATCGTGTTGTTCAGTTGTATGTAAGTATTCTAACCAATATGATTGTAGTGGAAACTAATAACCAGTTTTCATTGAGCAGCTTTCTCATAATTCTTGATTTACAAAAGCTAGGGTAAGGAAGGATTTACTTATAATGTAGCATGAGCTAGGGTAAGGAAGGGTTTACTTATAATGCAACAAGATCTAGGGTAAGGAAGGGTTTACTTATAATGCAACAAGAGCTATGGTAAGGAAGGATTTACTTATAATGCAGCAAGAGCTAGGGTGTTATCCAAATGAGACGATGCCACACTGTAGAGTTTGTAAATAGCTCAACATAATTTATTATGAAACATTTAAATTTGATTAGAAAATCCACTTGAGCTATTCTCTTGTCATGATAATTCTTATAGTTGTGCTATTATTCTTTTTAATAAAAGCATTAACCACACTGACATCATCTTTATTTTCTATCAGTTTTTAAATATCAGAAAAAAATGCAGCTATTGTGGTACTGTTAAATTGTCTTAACAGTTTAGTTTCATTACTAAAATAATGACATCTAAGTTGTTTTTTCAAGAGCCAAGTTGTACAATGTGCTATCTGCACTGTGCCTACTATAGGGATAAAACTGAATTTTAGAATTATAAGCCTTCAGATTTATGGTGTAATCACCATATGGGAATATTTCTTTGCATTGAATCTCAACAAAATTTCTTTTTTATTAAGTTTAAAACAATATGTATATATTTTATTAAGAAATTTAATTGCATATAATCATACAGCTGAATTTTTTGTATACATTATCAGAATGGCATGGCATGCAGCACTGAAAATATAATAATACCATTCTAATACCCAGTATAGTTACTGGTACTTTAACAAAAATAAGATAGCAGTGAAATGTAAATATACATGTTTACCCAGTATAAAAATGAGAGAATTTGAAACTTCACTTTATTTGTTTACATGATGAAATTCTAGAAGCAAATAAAATTCAACATGACTGAATGATTACTATAGATAAATAATAATATTCAAAAAAATTATTAGTTGAACAGACCTCCCAGGAAAACCACTATGAACACATGCAGATCAGTTTTTTCACCATTCCCTACAACTTTTTCTATGGTTTGTATTAAATAACCTGTCCCATTGCAGAATTGTTACAATTTCACATTAAACATATGAAGTAAAGAATCAGCTTTAAAGACAAAAATGTGGAAGGATATATTGTACACTCGCATTTCATGAACTGTTCATTTGGAGGTTCTTACTTCAAGCACATAAAAAGGGCTGAAAGCACCAAAACCCAAGGTGAGTGTTAATTATTAAACTTTTTAAAGAAGTTCATACTGTGCTTTCACTGAACATGATTTTGAATACTGTTTCTGAATCTGCATTGGTTTTATTTTCTGTAAGTTTGTATCTAAGGTGAAATGTCATGCAGTTATGTTCTTTAACATTATTTTGAGTAAACCTGTGAAATGAAATAATACAGTGTCTGCAATTTCTGTCCTTGTTTTGCTAATGTCTTTCAATCCCAAGGAGTTGTTCAACTATAAACATTGGTCAGTTTGCATACACACATATCCTACATTTACATGTCTACTTATTATATTCTGACCTTGCTTCTACATTGCACACAGCATGGCCTGTAGTGATATGATACTTCCTAAAACACATGTGGTAACTATGGTGCCTCCAGTGTACCATTTAGTGTCAGTAGTGAATAATGACTACTTGCATTGACATGGTATGTAGTGAAACCCTACAATCCAATGAATTTACAAGAACAGGGAATAAGTCCCCCCTCATCCACACCATTAGTTATCAAGTATTTCATCCAGATCACAAACATCAAGGACTTAATAGGAGGTTGTGCTCAGATGTAGCAAAGAAAAGTTACTAAACTTTAATAGTTAAGTAGCCAAAGTTTATAACCATTGGACAACATTGTTAAATGTTATGACATTTTTATACCTATTGTATAATGTGTGGACATACAGTAATATTTCTCCTTTTGTTTAGGACTAGTCTTGATTCTTTGTAATCAGCTAAGTAAGATTTAATTGCAGCATAACACAATTATTAGAACTGTGGATTCTTACTACATCACCTGACACATGGATAGTTTGCACTGACTTTATGGAACTATTGCAACTTATACCATTGTGCCTACATACATTTAACTTATCTTTTACAAAGTAAGTTTAAAAAATTTTGTTATATTTTATATCATATCACAGATGAAGATAGATTTTTTCATCATCCATTTAGGTAAGAAAACTTAAAAGTTAATGATGGTAGGTTTCTGTTATTGTTTTTGTACATTGGGTTTTCACTTAAATAAACAGTAATGATTTCATATTCGTTAATAAATCAGCATACGGTAGGGTAATTGTTTTCATATTTTTATCATAGAAGAAATATATATATATGTATATATTAAAATGTATGTATGCTTTTAACACATTGTTAGGACTTTGTGTTAGTAAATTAGTTTACCTGTTTCGTATGTATAATCTCCTCCCCACCTGCTTTTTAGGTTTACCTCCTGGTGTGGTGAACATGGTGTTTGGATATGGATCTACTGTTGGTGAGCTTTTGGCAAAACATCCCAATGTAAAAGCTATTTCATTTACTGGAAGCACTATAACTGGCAAACGGATTTCACAGATTACTGCTCCTTACATGAAAAAACTTTCATTGGAGGTATGAACAGAAACTACTAAACTTTCATTTTGCCATCTTTGAGCTATATTATATTTTTTATACCCTATTTATTCCTTATTAACACAGCCAAACAGATTCTCTAAATATGTTTTGCTGTTAGATATTCATCTAGAAATGAGTTTTTTTCTTCAGTTTGGATTTTAGAGATTTCTGCAAATTGATAAAAAGGTTATTCTTAGGGAGCTAATACTGCTTTAATACACTTATTGCAGTTTGAATGTAACTAAAATTTATATACATAAGTAAAAGCACTTTTGAATCATAAATAGCATTATTCTATGAAAATTTTTGAATAACAATTACAAGTATTTTAAACATGTTGAACCTCAATCTAGAGTATTCTTCAGCAAAATGGATTTTTTCAATGATTAAAACCTGCAGCTTTAAATAAACGTGTTATTAGATTTATTTATCTATATTTTTCATTTACTGGTTTAGGTGAAACACCTAATTAACAGTTAGTTATGTATGTGAAAGCTTATTCTGTAAAAATGTATAATAACAAATAATTGAAAAGCTATATTGCATTACTAAAGAGTATCTGCTTTTCTAATCCACTCTGATAATACTTGTTCCCAAAAATAATTTCCATCATCAGTAGCCCTGGGGTAACCTAAAACAAAAGACATTGATTAAGCCTCCTGAGTTGTAGATTTAATTCAAGTGAATGTTTTTGGTGTATTATTTCATTATTAGGATTTAAAGAACACTTAGAAATTCTACTATAAATTAATTTCTTACTCAGCCTTTCAGCAGAAAACAATGTGTATAATGTAAAGTGTTACTGTCTGTATCATTTTATAGAGAGAGAGTGAAAAGGTTTTTAAACACTAAGATGGTCCAAATCAAAATTTGTTGATTGAACCAACTTAAAAGTGCTTGTGGATTTATTTTAGATGATTTACATTTTCTTATATCTTTTAGAATATCTGAGTTACCTAGTATGATGGAAAGAGATGTTAAAAATTGTTTTATTATTAACTAGAGGATTGGGCTATTTGTGTTTTTTTCTGAATCATTTTAACCCTATCGCGATGGGTCACATGTCGAAGGCCATGTCATCTCGTTTGTTGACTTGCATTCAAAATTTTATTGAACTAATATTTCATGAATTTATGTTAATAAGTTTGGTATCCAACTGTAGATTATTATTAAAATTTTAGAACTACTCATTACTCAATTTGTTAATTTAAAAGTTAATATAAAAAAACACAGCTAAACATCAATTTTTGTGTGTCATGTGGTATGATGAATGCAGCACTGGTTCATATAAGATGTTTGTGATGTTAAAATACAAAGTCTATAGTTTTGTATGAATTAGGAACTCAAACTACCAATATTGACAAGCGAGAATATAAAATGAGAACCTCTTATCTTTTCTATTTGCTGAGATATTGCTCATGTACTGAATCAAACACAGTGGACCTCCACCCACCTCTTTCGATTTTTGGAAATGCTCCCTTATATAAACTTACTTTTATATATGACATGAATAACCAATTGTAAAATCAGAATGTCCTCCTAGTGGTTTTCTCGGCCATTTTGATGTGTTATTGTTTTAGTCTCGTTCTTTTCACACAAAATTTCAAATGATAAGGTAATTATTTAGTGAGTTTGAAATTTCATATTTTTTTAGACCAAAATACACCTTAGTTACTATGCTTTATAAATTATAGTGGAATTCTATGGTATCAATATAGTAATTTATAATTTTTTGGGGGGTTATTTAAAATGTATATATAAAACCTAAAAAAAATTTTCTCTTCTTATCCTACATGTGGGAAATTTCATAAGGTTTCGCAACCTACAACAAGCAGCAAATGAGTACAAAGGTCATAATTAGAACAGATAATTGTTTGCTTTACTTCTTTATTTACTGTTCTATGTTTTAAGAAAAATAAGTTTAATAACTTATTTATAAATAGTAATAATCTATATACATATATAATGTATAATAATAGAAATGTAACTGTATTTTACAAATTACTAGTCAACTAAAACACAGCCAAGACAGGTCATTTTGTAAAGACTAAAGGTCAGTTTTATATTATTGGATATGGTATCAAGAGTGCATGTGTGCCACATCATTGTAACTTCTGTATTGTTAGCCAGGCATGGCTGGAAGGTCAATATAATAAAAATATTAAATATATATATATGTCTAATGTTATGAGATTTAAACTACTTAGATTAAACATTTGTGTTTTCTTGTTATAATCTGTAGTCATTCTGGGATGAAAAAAGCATAATTTAAATGTATTTCCTAATTTTTTATAGTGATTATGAGGCCGGTCAAATTGACAGATCCCATAGAGTAAGGATAGAGAAAATAACAAAAAAATATGGTGTTTTACTGAAAACAAGTGTTTGAAATATATTTAGGAAGTTTTAGAGATTACACAAATAATATTTGAGATTTTGGGGATGAACAATAGTTTTTTAGTTATAACATGAAAATCACTTTGCACTTGGACTGGTAATGAAACAGACTCGATATTTTCACAAAAAATCTATAATAGAAATACTTCATTAAAATATCTGATTTTTTGTGTATGAAAGACTTGTAATCTTTACTAAAAGTCTAACAAATTTGGTGAAGATACATTCTTACTTCATTAAAAGTTATAGTATAAATATGTAACTTGTATATTATACCGAGCCCATTGTGAAAAGGTTAATAGGACCATGCACATGTTCACTCAGCAGCTAATCAGCAGAAATACTGCCTGAGTTAGACCATTACTTTATTTATTATTACTGATCTAATCAGTAATAAAAAACTTTACTCCTTTGGGGAAAATGCATCATTACCCTCCCTAAGAAAGATTGTCAATATATAATGTACATAAAAGAACGTTTGGTTTGAAATTCATGCAAAGATACATGAGGGTTATCTGTGCTCATAAAAGAAGAAGGATTTATGAAGTTTTAGGAATAACAATAGAATTATCTGGCACTATCATGCACAGTTATTTCAAAAATTTATCAAAGTACTGGGTTGTATAGAGCATATTGTTACGTCTCCGTTTGTTAATTAATTTTCCGTAACTTCGTTCCGACGAAACTTTAGTGACACAAGTCCTTATTTAATAAAACTGGTTTATTCTTTCCGAATATAACTTTACGATACACTTAATTTCAACAATCATGCTAAAACAAACGCTATAACAACGAACGTGCTCAGCTTCAATAATACTCTCTGTCTGCAGATCAATTACTCACTGTCTACATAC